TATCTACGTCACTATGTGGGAAGATTTGCATAACGCCGCCCAAATGTTCACGCAAAGAAAGAAGACATAACTTTTATTCTCGCTGTAGTATTGTTGCTGCCGCCGCCATATCCTGAAGGCGCTGTGTTTCGTTGTGAAAACTACTTCAAAAGAGGACGATATCTGCTTCGTCATGCCTGGAGCTGATCCGTGCTGGTCGCTGAGGAAATACATCAACTTTGTAGTCTACTCTCCCAGGATCAGGAAACAGTCCTCCATAACATTACGTAATTTAATTACAAAATAAATGTAACTGTAATCTGTTACAGTTACTGAGAAAAAAAAGTGTAATTAAATTAGCCTACAGTTACTTATGAAAATGTTAACAATTACAAAGGGGGTTTTCACACAAACACGCACATACAGATTTGATTCATTTATTTCTTAATTGCAGTGACTGCTCTAAAATACGAAGCACCAATGTTTCAGGAGTGTAGAACACAGAATAAGATGCATGCTTGTTCGAGAACTGTTTAATTTCCTATTTGGGTTTATGCATATGCTTTAAGATTAACTGATTTTTTCCCCAAGGCATTGTTAGATGCCAGTGTTTCCTGTCATAGCTGTGAAAAGATTTGATTTTAAAAACGCTTCTGGCTTCCGCACAATGTCACTTGGGCGGATCTGGCCGACCCAGCGCCCGGAGTGGAGTACCCTAAAGCCGGCCACTTGCTCTCCGCGCTGCCGCTGGCCTTGGGGATCTTCGCGGTGCGGATCGTGTTCGAGAGGTATGCTTTGCGTTTGACTTGACGCCTTTTTACGCGTCTGGCATTCATTTGGCCATCCAGAACTTTGTGTAGACTCAGCTGATGTATAAATATCAACATTTTAAACTCACATCACATGCTTTCCCGTGTCTTAATATTGAAAGTTTAGGCTATGCATGCACGTGTCTGAACGTTTAAAAGAAGCTGTTCTGAAGTCCATTTGGGCTGGATGAACTTGAAAGGAATTTCAAGCATTCAGGTTATGATCTTTCAGCCTGAGGCATCTGTCAGCTGACCAGCTTAAGGCCTAGACTTAGAAAAGAGGATTGCATTTATTTTTCTTTGCTTAAAAGTCTTTTTATGTGTCTTTTTTTCACCCCTACCTTTACAACCGCACTCTCATTTAAAAAAAGCATGCTTTTTAGTCAAACATCCTTTGTTGAGCAGAAGTGCAGGAACATGTGTGATGATATAGAGTTTCCTAATGTTGATTTTGACACTATAATATCTGGAAATAGTGTCAGAAATGAACACCACACCTTTAGAAGAGCCTGGGATGCATGTAGTATAAGCATGTGCAGTGTCATGTCTCAACTATGCTTTGAATTCAAGAGAGCTTGAGTGGTAACTTGTGTGTCAGTGTGGGAAAGCTTGGTTTTAAAGGCATAGCGCACTCAAAAATGAACTACTGTTTTCTGTCATCGTTTACTCACCCTAGGGCTGCACGATTAATCGAATGCGATTGTCATGCGCATTTTGATAGTAATGCCGGTTCTGTCATCAGCAGAAAATTATCATCACGGGCTTTCAGATGGCCTGAAAGATACGCATGACAATCGCAGCTTCTGTCGAATCGCGATCTCGATTCCATTTCGATTGATCGTGCAGCCCTAACTCAATCTTACCTTTTTATGTTTTTTAAATACTTTTTTTTTATGTGGAACACGACAGGAGATGTTTGGTACAATGTTCAGGCTGCACTTTTAATTACAATGAAAGTGAATGGGGACCAGTTCTGTCAAGGTCTGAAAAAATACTAAAGTGACTTGATTGCGAAGTGAAAACTGATTTAATGTTCTGTATGTTCTTCAAAGGGGTCATGACATGTATTTTTTTTTAATTATTTTAATAAGTTCCTTGAGGTTTAGCCTACTCATAATGTTAATAAAGCTTTTTTTTCCACACACGCACACAAAACAAATCAATATGTGGGAAAATTATTATTTTCAACCCTCATTCTGAACCTCTCTCTAAAACGACCTGTTTTAGGGGGCGGGTCCATTCAGGCTTCTCAGTAATCCGCTACTGTTATGATTAGCTAACGTCATTGCATAGGAAACAGTATCAACACCCCCTAACTATTGCATGTAAGTGTTTTGACAACATAATCAAAATAAAACGGTAATTTCCAGACAAAGCATTATTAAATAATTTACTTATGGTTTGTGATGCAGCTGCAGTCAGATCTAATACC